GGAATCTTGGAGTTATCTTTGATCAGGATTTGTCATTTAACTCCCACATAAAGCAGACCTCTAGGACTGCCTTCTTTCATTTACGTAATATTAGAAAAATTAGACACATACTATCACAGACAGATGCAGAAAAACTAATCCATGCATTTGTTACTTCAAGGCTGGATTACTGCAACTCTTTATTATCAGGTTGCCCCAATAAGTCCATTAAAACGCTCCAATTAATTCAGAACGCTGCAGCACGAGTACTGACAGGAACTAGAAAAAGAGATCACATCTCTCCTGTACTAGCTACTCTGCATTGGCTCCCTATAAAATGTAGAATTGAATTTAAAATCCTCCTCCTCACCTATAAAGCTCTTCATGGTCAGGCCCCTTCATATCTTAAAGAGCTCATAGTACCCTATTACCCCACTAGAACACTACGTTCTCTGAATGCTGGGCTACTTGTGGTTCCTATAGTCTCTAAAAGTAGAACAGGAGCCAGAGCCTTCAGTTACCAAGCTCCTCTCCTGTGGAACCAGCTTCCAGTTGTGGTTCGGGAGGCAGACACCCTCACCACATTCAAGAGTAGGCTTAAGACATTCCTCTTTGATAAAGCTTATAGTTAGGGCTGGATCAGGTGAGTCCTGAACCATCCCTTAGTTATGCTGCTATAGGCCTAGACTATCGGGGGATTTCCCATGGTGCACTGAGCTACTCTCTTCCTCTCTCTTTCTGCACTCATTCATGTCCCTTTAATGCATGTTACTAACTCCACTTCTTCCCCGGAGTTCTTGTGCTTTCTCGTCTCGCAGGTTCTCATGGATCCTGGTGGAGCCTCCTGCCATGGTCCTGCTTGACTGCCATTGCCAATACTGTTGTTGCTGTGCGTCTGTCTGTCTCTGTCTCTGTCTCTGTCTCTCTCTCTCTCTCTCTCTCTCTCTCTACCCCAACTGGTCGAGACAGACGACCACCCACCTAGAGCCGGAGGATCTGTCCTAGGTTTCTGCCTTTTAACAGGCAGTTTTTCCTTGCCCTTGTCGCCAAGTGCTTGCTCATGGTGGTACTGTTGGGTCTCTGTAATTAATGTTAAAGAGTTCGGTCTAGACCTGCTCTATTTGAAAAGTGTCCTGAGATAACTTCTGTTATGAATTGGCGCTATACAAATAAAATTGAATTGAATTGAATTGAATTGAATTTATCTCACAATTGGCTTCAGAGTATAAATAAACCCCCTCATTGTTTAAATCACACTCTTGACCTCGTTCTATCATATGGCATTGATATTTATGACATTTATTAGTCTTCCTACACAATCCTTTGCTGTCTAACCATTATTTAATAACTTTTGAATTTATATTACTAGATCACAAGCCATTAGGCAAAACGTCCTACAGCAGATGTCTATCTGACAGTGCGGTAGCTAAATTTAAGGATGATTCCATCAATGCCGTGTCTGAATATAACAGAGTCCTATAACAACTTAAGTCCCTCCCAAATTGATCATCTTTTAACAGTGCTGCAGGCTCACTACGAACAACATTAGATACTATTGCTGCTATAAAAAGGAAAATATTAAAACATAGGAGACTAGCTACGTGGTAAAACCACCAAACCCGCCAATTAAAGCAAAAAGCGTGGAAATTTGGCAAGATAATCTTAAAACTTATAGAAAGGCCCTCCGTAATGCCAGAGGAGCCTATTACTCAGCACTAATAGAAGAAAATAAGAACAACCCTAGGTTCCTCTTCAGCACTGTAGCCAGGCTGACAGAGAGTCACAGCATATTGAGCCACATATCCCCATAAACTTAAGTAGCAACAACTTTTTGAAATAAAATTATTACTATTAGAGACAAAATTAATAACCAAATGTCCTCAACAGGTATCACTGTCTCCCCAAGTTCAGGAATTTTAACAAATGTAAAATCAGATATATACTTAGACTGTCCAGGACTGCCTTCATTCATCTACGTAATATTACAAAAATTAGACACAGCCTGTCACAGATGGATGCAGAAAAACTAATCCAGTTTAGTCTTTACAGTTTCAGTCAATACACTTAGTGTAGTTGTTGCTGTGCACATCTGTCTGTCTGTCTCTCAAAAAATTCAAAAATTCATTTCTTTTTTTTTTTCAAATTCAAAAAAAAAAAATTCAAAATGGGCCTCAATTGCGTGTGTGTGTGTGTGTCTGTGCGTGTCTGTGTGTGCGTAAAGCAGGTGAATATTTTTCCATTCTTAGTTTGTTGTACATGTTTGTTGATTAAAGTGTGACGGGTATATACATGGTCGGTGGTGCGGGGTTTTGGGAGGAAGCCAATCTCACTTTTACTTAAGATTGACTGTTCCTCAAGGAAATCTAGTATTCTTGTATTAAGAATACTACAGAATAGTTTACCTAGACAGCTGCTGACACAGATGCTATGGTAGTTATTAGGGTCTGATTTGTCCCCACTCTTATGAATGGGGGAAATGAGCCCTTTGCACCAGATGTTGGGAAAACATCCTGCCTGTAGTATAACATTGAACAAATGATAACATGGCACCCTGCATTTCTGGGGTGCTGCTTTTGAGCATTTTGTTTCTAATGCTGTCTGGACCACAAGCTTTCCTTGGCTTCAGACATTTTGTCTGTATGGTTATTTCTTCTCAAGTAATTTCGAAAATCAAGGGGGTTTTGGTTGTCTTTAATTGTTTCTTCTAACTTTTGGAGTTTTTCTTTCATAATACACTAATCTGAATTAATTTGATTGATTGGTATGTCTTTGTACAGATTTTCAAACTGTGATCTCCAGATTTCACCATTTTGGATGGGTAATGTCTGCTGTTGCTTTGGGTTGAACTTGTTCCACATATCCCAGAATTGATTTTGGTTAATGGCATTCTCAATATCTTCAATATCTTGTTTTTTGATCCTAATTGTGTATTTATATGTATTTAAAATTTCACTGTATCGAATGCGCAGGGCTGGGTTGTTCGGTTGGCAATGTTTCTCATTTGCTATTTTTCTCAGCTCTTTTCTGATTGTTTTGCATTCTCGATCAAACCATTTGTCAGTATTTTGCCTTATAACAGGTCTCCGTCTTTGCTGTATGAGGTCAGCCCTAATAGCTGCCTTATGAAATATCATATTGACATCATCAATGGCCTTGTTTACCCCATCTCTGGTAGGGACATATTGATTTTGAGTATATATTGATATGTAATTCATCAGATCAGGGAAGTTTAAAGCCTTGATGAATTTGTCTACACTGTCTGGGGCCCATCTGTAAGAAGGATTTAATTTATACAGCTTACTGGGTTCCCTTTTTGTCTCACTAATTTGACCTGACAATTTAAAGAACACATTAATTTGGTTGTGGTCTGAAAGGGGGGATTGCTGTCTGACAGTGAATGCAGTGATAGTTGAGGGGTCCATGTCAGTGATTGCATAGTCTACAACACTAGACCCAAGAGCTGAGGAGTATGTGAACCTCCCTAAAGAGTCCCCTCTGAACCTACCATTAACTATGTACAGGCCTAAGGCCCGACAGAGATGCACTATCTCCCTGCCACTTTGATTTAATATTGAGTCAAGGTTATTCCGACGGGTGATGTTTGGTATGGTAAACAGGGGGGCCTGACCAAATACATGGTTGTTGCCCTGTGTGTCAATGATATCAGGTTCAATTCCTGTACGTCCATTTAGATCTCCAGTTAGAAGTACATTTCCCTGGGCCTGGAAATAGGCGATTTCTGAATTTACGGTGTCAAAAATGTCCACTGGGGGTATGCAAATTGCACAGAGGTATAGATCCCTATCGGTTATGCCTAGGGTTTGATCTAACCTCAACCAAATGTGCGATTTACCCTGTTTTACTGGTGAGATCTGATTGCAAAGATCTCCTTTATATATAGACTTTCCTTCCAGATGTATATGGAGTCTGTGAAGAATATGAGGTTGTTCTTCTTCCTCCCTTCTTTGTGTAGTGCATAGTCCGTGAACAAGACTTCTTTGTTCTCCTGAAGTGTCTTTTCCTTAAACTTCTCCCTGGCTGCTGCACTCTTACAGAGAGCAGGGTATTTAACCTCCCTGCTCTCTGTTCCCTGCTTGGCTGTTTCCATGGCGACCACTTTGTTTGTTTACTAGTGGGCTAACTCTTTACTGTTGCTAGCTTTTTTAGCCTTTAAACACAGTTATTAATGTTATGATTTTTGGTTTGTTCTTTTCTTCATAAAACATCTCTTCTGTTATCTTACTTAGTCTGGTTCCTCCTTAGAAATGTTCTACACTGTGGCAGGTGGTAGCTTACAGCAGTTGATACACAGTTGCCAGCTAGCTTTTGACAGTCAGCTGGTTGTTTTCATTTAACAAATATATCCAAAAATGGTATTTTCTTTCTTCTGTTTTGCTGATAAAGTATTTACCTTTTCTTTAGAGTCCTTTTTGAAGAAAATTCTATGTTTTTTTTTAAAAAATGTCCCACTGTTTAGGTCCATGTTTGAGATGAAATCAGGAGCACATTTTTCATGCAGCCTTCTCTCTTGGAACTCTTGGAATTTTTTTTTTTAATTTTGAATTTGAATTTTTTTTGAAAATTTGAAAGGTGCACAGCAGCAACAGTAGCAACAACTACATAGTAGTAGTTGTGACTGATGATTGAATTGGCGCTATACAAGTAAAATTTCATTGAATATCAAATTACATTCCTGCCAAGACAGCCTCCTAAATGTTACACATGTTCAAATCTCTCATTGATACCGCCACATACCACAAGAGGCAGCTCGCGTGCCACCACCAGTACACGTACCATAGATTGAGAACCAGCGATGGTTGTCAAAAGTCCACAATACGTACTTGACAGTTCATATAACGTTATTTAAAAAAAGAATAAGCTTAAGGAGAGTAAGGTCACTCCACTCCTACCTGACACTTTACGCTTCCATTGCACAATGAAAGGGAATCTAAGGATTCCGTTTCTCAGGGACTCTGAAAGTAAAAAGCACGCAGACCAACCCTGTTCCCCCTACAGCTCACCAGTTTCCGGAGCCGACTATGCACACTTTGAGCGGAGAGGCCATCGCTGCGGCTTCCTGCGTCCAGCTGTTCTCTGCACAAACACCTGGCAAACTCTGGAGACGACCCGCGGCAGAGGCTCTTCTACCGCCCGAACAACAGATGCACAATGCGCGTCTTCTTTTGATGACGTCACAAAATATGTCGCACACAAGGCTGTCTGGAGTTGTAGTTTTCATTCAGGCCTTTGTTAACGTAAAAGGCAGCTTCTCTAGATTATATAATAGTGTGTCACTTGATGAATAATGGATGACATTTATAAGATGTAATGCTTATACAGATGCAGTAGAGATTGTGTTTGTCATAATAATATAATATACAATAAGAACAGACAGTCTTTTCAAGTGACTTACAGTAGTCTGTCCATTTCTGTTGTTTAGCTATGCAGAATGCCTATTTATTCATGACATTGACATGGATTAAAAATAATCATAATAATTAGACCATACATGTTGAAAATGAAATAGGACTATCAATGCATATTTTAAATCTGGAGTAGGTATTTTTTATAAAAAAATAACGTACTCTCATATTTACTGAAACTTTCCCTGATATGCCTAAAGGCATTTCCCAAAATCCACTGGGCCAAAACGAAAACAGCCAATCAGAGGTGAGAAACATGGGTTATTAGATTATCTGTCTCACTATATGCTGACAGTAGTACATGAACGTTTCACCAAATATGACTGTTGCTATGATGTTTCTGTAACATTATTGGAATAACAGAAATACAATCCACAGTTTGGATGCTCGAACTGTGAGGTTATCTAAGGTTTACTGCATTATTGATTCTCTGTGGCCGGCTGTAGGGGGAGTATCCCGGGCTGGGGGGGAGTGACCAACCCGGGATTTCCAAAAATAAAAAAAGGCAACGACGTCAGAGAGAGAGAGAAAAAAGAGAGAGAGAGAGCGCACCGCAGTAAAGTAGTCGGAATATCCCTCCAGTGTGTCAACAGAGTCGGAGCAGGCAGTAGTGAAGTCTGCTGTATCTCACTCTCTCATCACTTTGCCAAAACCCTGTATTAAAGATCTCCTTTCGGGCGCTGGTGCTCTTGTTTACCGCTGAAAAGCACTAATATCTCAGAGTGGTAACGAATCAAAAGCAGCAGTAGCAGCATGAACCGGTCCGCGCATCAGGAGAGCCGGCAGCCGCACAGTCTGGCTGCAACGAAACGCCGCGTGGGGGCCGGGACCATGGACAGCGGCGCAGGGTCGGGCTCCTCGCACTACAAAACAACCCGTAGCAAGCGACACCTGGAGGGGGTCCTGAAGAAATACACCAACCTGCTCCAGGGCTGGCAGAGCAGGTAGGTCACTATACTGACAGAATTAATCTATATTACATGGCACATTATTTTATCTTTGTATGGGGAATTAGAGGTGTTGACACTATAGTTCATGTTGATTTAATCTTATTCCTATAACATTGGATATCGGATCTGAGCAGTTTAAAAGAATAACATACCTAATATTACATGTTTCACTAAATGTAGAATTCTGAAATCTGTAGTTTTTTATAGTATTTGTAATTGTTTCTATTTTTCACAATTTATTTGACTCCCTAACCCAAACTGTCCAACACAAAAGACTAAACTTTTTTATTTTTGGCCTAAATATATTGAGTTGACCCCCACCCACCCCTCAGTCTCTCTATGTTGTTGTCAATATCTTATTTGACAATTAATATTTGAAGGTCAACCAACTTGAGGAAACATCCCACAGAATCTGTAGGACAGGTCTGTATACCATCACATAACCTTTCCACTCATTTATCTACATGTGCATTCTTCCTCAGTGAGAGATACGGGTGTGGGAGTCCCAGAAACACAGAATGAGTCATCCAGGATCAGGAAATCCCTGCACTCCTCTTCTGCATCTCAATACTCCCTCCCCCTCTTCACTCTCTCTTTGGCCACTTACCCTCTCCCTCTCTGTCCCAGTGGATCAATAGGAAAAGCATCCAAATGTGTAATGAGTTCCATGATCACATTTTGACCGTGTGGTGTACTTAACTTCCTCACAAACACACACCCACACACACACTGCTGTACTTGACTCAGTGCACTCAGAAACACAAGTGAAACTAGAGTTTGAGTGTGTGTGTGTGTGTGTGTGTGTGTGTGTGTGTGTGTGTGTGTGTGTGTGTGTGTGGGTGGGTGTGTGTGGGTGTGTGTGCATCAGCAGGTTGCAGCTAACTGGGGATGGGCACTCCACTGGCCAGAGGTATGGTGCCATGATGTGTAGTAACTGTGAAGAATGGAGATATATATATGTCCTCAGGTCCACTAGGGGCGCAATGAGAAAGTTGTGACCTGTTTGGGAATTCAATAGATGGGTAGAACAAGAGTCAAGTCCTGTGTACTATCCGAGATGGTGTGATTGAGCTATGCACTGTGTTCGTCAGGAACAAATAAACTTCCCATGTTCGGCAAGAAGTTAGCTAGCTAATGTTAGCAAAACACTAGCTAACTTTTTGCAAATTATCAAAATAATCAGTTTTGCCTTATAAAAATACCATATGAATGCTGTAAAAAATACCATGAGATATGACAGAGGTGTTCTGTAAAATAAAAAAAAGACTATTCCATATGAATTCCTTCAAAATTCTGTATAAATAAAGATTTTGCCGTGAGATGTGACAGTGTCCTCTAGGACTGCCTTCTTTCATTTACGTAATATTACAAAAATTAGACACATCCTGTCACAGACGGATGCAGAAAAACTAATCCATGCATTTGTTACTTCTAGGCTGGATTACTGCAACTCTTTATTATCAGGCTGCCCCAATAAATGCTGCAGCACGAGTACTGACAGGAACTAGAAAAAGAGATCACATCTCTCCTGTACTAGCTTCTCTGCACTGGCTCCCTGTAAAATTTAGAATATAATTTAAAATCCTCCTCTTGACCTACAAAGCTCTTCATGGTCAGGCCCCTTCATGTCTTAAAGAGCTCATAGCACCCTATTACCCCTCTAGAACACTGCATTCTCTGAATGCTGGGCTACTTGTGGTTCCTATAGTCTCTAAAAGTAGAACAGGAGCCAGAGCCTTCAGTTACCAAGCTCCTCTCCTGTGGAACCAGCTTCCAGTTGTGGTTCGGGAGGCAGACACACTCTCCACATTTAAGAGTAGGCTTAAAACGTTCCTCTTTGATAGAGCTTATAGTTAGGGCTGGATCAGGTGAGTCCTGAACCATCCCTTAGTTATGCTGCTAAAGGCCTAGACTATCGGGGGATTTCGCATGATGCACTGAGCTCCTCTCTTCCTCTCTCTCTCTTTCTGCACTCATTCACGTCCCATTAATGCATGTTACTAACTTCACTTCTTCCCCGGAGTTCTTTTGCTTTCTTGTCTTGCAGGTTCTAATGGATCCTGGTGGAGCCTCCGGCCATGGTCCTGCTTGACTGCCATTGCTAATATCACTGATATTATTGTTATTATTATTACTACAGTTACTATTATTACTATTGTCACTATCATTGTCCCCTATCGTTTCTGTTGTCGTTGTCATTGTCTTCTTCATGTTCATCATCATCAGTCACTACTATTGGTGTAGTTGTTGCTACTGTTGTTGCTGTGCACCTGTCTGTCTGTCTGTCTGTCTGTCTGTCTGTCTGTCTGTCTGTCTGTCTGTCTGTCTGCGTCTGTCTCTGTCTCTCTCTCTGTCTCTGTCTCTGTCTCTGTCTCTCTCTCACCCCAACTGGTCGAGGCAGACGACCACCCACCTAGAGCCGAAGGGTCTGTCCTAGGTTTCTGCCTCTTAACAGGCAGTTTTTCCTTGCCCCCGTCGCCAATTGCTTGCTCATGGTGGTACTGTTGGGTCTCTGTAAATGTTATAAGGAGTTCGGTCTAGACCTGCTCTATTTGAAATGTGTCCTGAGATAACTTCTGTTATGAATTGGCGCTATACAAATAAAATTGAATTGAATTGTTTTGCTGTCATAGAAACAGTATTTTTTTTTTTTAAAGTAAAGTTTTTGGGCTTTTTTTTATTGCCTTTATTTTAGTGACAGCTGAAGATAGACAAGAAAGGGGGTCAGAGAGAGACGGGGTGACATGCAGCAAAGTGCTGCAGGTAGGTCGGATTTGAACCCTGGGCAGCTGCAGCAAGGATTCAGCCTCGGTACATGTGTCGCCAGCTCTACCCACTGAGCTATCCGGGCGCCCCATTGAAACAGTATTTAACCTATTTAGAGTTTACAGTCTTTTACTGTCATGGTTTGACAGTTTTTTACAGGAGTACGGTCTAGAACTGCTCTATTTGAAAAGTGTCCGGAGATAACCTTTGTTATAATTTGGTGTTATACAAATAAAATTTAACTGAATTACATCTGAAAGCTAAAGCTTAATGGACCTGTACTTGTATTGCGCCTTTCTAGATTTCCGACCACTCAATGTGCCACATTCGCCCTTTCACACACATTCACACAGTGATGGCAAACTCCACCGAACAGAAAATAACTTATTAGTACACATTCACACACAAGAGTAGAATTGTATTCTCACTGATCATTAAGGCTAGCTATTTTTTTTATATTGGATAAATTGTATTTTGATGTTAGAGGACACTGAGAAAAATATGTTTTCCCAATCACAGACCAGTAAGTTAAAGTTTCTATAGGCTATGTAACTTTCAGATAACCATTGTTAATAATGTCAACTGTCTCCTTATTTCTCTGTCACTTCTCTCATCTGTAGATACTTTGTACTGGACCCAGAGCTTGGTCAGCTCCAGTATTATTTGAATGAACTCAATAAAAGCCAGCGACCTCCCAGAGGGTCTCTTCCTCTCCTTGGGGCAATGGTGGTTTCGAGTGATGAGTTTCCCTACATGTTTACTGTTCAGTCCACTACTGGGGATTCTTACAAACTTAGAGGTAAGAGAATGTGAAATATTATTTTTGGTAGAAAATGCTTATATAAAGAGGTACAATACAGTGTTGCGCTATCAGTGTCAACAACAACTTTGTAACTGAAACACAGTGCATCATTTCAAATGTTTAGAATCCATTACTATATTAATGGAAAACATTTTTCAAAACATCACGCAATAACACTAAGAACTGAACTGCGTGTTTGTGATTGATTTGTACTATAATTTAATGATAAAGTTTACAGCAGTTAACAATTGCATTTAAAATAGGTTTCACTAACAAAGACGACCCCTATGAATGCGTGGAATTTGGAAAGGTTATAACTTGCACATCTTTTGGACTATCGGAATTCTTTATGTAAATTTGTGTCAGGCTGGTCCACAGATGCTATGTGCAAAATTTCATGGAGATTGGACTAAACGCCTAGGAGGAGATAGAAAATAGGTTTTGCAAATTTTCTGCACAATTTTGCGAAAAAAAAGAAAATTGCGACGTAATGGCATATATCTCTGGATTCAGGTCAATTCAGGGAACGTGGATATGAATATTTTTAGTGTGTGTATAGTATGTGAAAGTTATCAAACAAATTCATTATAGCGCCACCTGATGGTGGACAAACACGATTTCTGGTATGTGAGCTACAGGCACCAGTCTACAATTCAATTCAATTTCAATTCAATTTTATTTGTATAGCGCCAATTCATAACAGAAGTTATCTCAGGACACTTTTCAAATAGATCAGGTCTAGACCGAACTCCTTATAACATTTACAGAGACCCAACAGTACCACCATGAGCAAGCACTTGGTGACGGGGGCAAGGAAAAACTGCCTGTTAAAAGGCAGTAACCTAGGACAGACCCTTCGGCTCTAGGGTCATCTGCCTCGACCAGTTGGGGTGAGAGAGAGAGAGAGAGAGAGAGAGAGAGAGAGAGAGAGAGACAGACAGACAGACAGACAGACAGACAGACAGACAGTAGCACAGCAACAACAGTAGCACAGCAACAACAGTAGCAACAACTACATTAATAGTAGTGACTGATGATGATGAACAAGACAACAGCAACGATGGGGGACAATGAACAGTGACAACAGCAACAACAGTAACCGTAGCAATAATATATAATAATATATAATATATAACAATACTTATAATAATAATAACACTAATATCAGTGATATTAGCAATGGCACTCAAGCAGGACCATGGTAGGAGGCTCCACTAGGATCCATGAGAACATAAGGGATGGTTCAGGACTCACCTCAGCCAAACCTTTTCACGTGCCCTGTGAATTTCATATTCATAACTATTACAGTCACCGCACAGTACCACTTTGTTATTTAAACAGGCACCAGAGCACCACCTAGTGGTGGATTATTGACACATTTTTTAGCAAGACTCAGGGAGCCATGGGCAATCATCGTACCAAATTTCATTTTAATCTCACGGCCGATGTGGAGATATAAACTTCTTCATTTTAAAGAGTGCCACCTTGTGGCGATGGCCTCAAATTGTGCATGATGCCTAAGGAAGACATGGGGAACTATGGACCCAAGCTTGGTGTCAATCGGACATACCAATGTGGAGAAATACTCCACTTCCTGTTTTGACCAAAAGTGCTAATTTTATAACGTGCTTATTTTTTGAAATATCAAAATTCTTTTTAGAACTTTTTGCCAGGACTGTCCCCAGATGCTACGTGAAATCTTAAAGTTCTTATCGATCCAGGTGGAGCCTCCTGCCATGGTCCTGCTAGATTGCCATTGCCAATACTGTTGTTACTGTGCACCTGTCTGTCTGTTTGTTTCTCTCTCTCTCTCTCTCTCTCTCTCTCTCTCTCTCTCTCTCTCTCTCTCTACCCCAACTGGTCGAGACAGACGACCACCCACCTAGAGCCGAAGGATCTGTCCTAGGTTTCTGCCGTTTAACAGACAGTTCTTCCTTGCCCTTGTCGCCAAGTGCTTGCTCATGGTGGTACTGTTGGGTCTCTGTAAATAATGTTATAAAGTGTTCGGTCTAGACCTGCTCTATTTTAAAAGTGTCCTGAGATAACTTATGTTATGAATTGGCGCTATACAAATAAAATTGAATTAAAAATTGAATTGAATGGAAAGGTTTCGTACGAATCGATAATAACAATAATATCAGTAATGTTAGCAGTGGGAGTCAAGCAGGACCATGGCAGGAGGCCCCACCAGGATTAATGAGAACCTGCAAGACAGGAAAGCACAAGAACTCCGGGGAAGAAGGGAAGTTAGTAACATGCATTAATGGGACGTGAATGTGTGCAGAAAGAGAGGGAGAGGAAGAGAGGAGCTCAGTGCATCATGGGAAATCCCCCAATAGTCTAGGCCTATAGCAGCAGAACTAAGGGATGGTTCAGGACTCACCTGAGCCAGACCTAACTATAAGCTTTATCAAAGAGGAACGTCTTAAGCCTACTCTAAAAGTTATCTTTTTTTTGGCCTTTTCATGCCTTTATTAGACAGGGACAGCTGAAGATTGACAGGAAAGGGGGGCAGAGAGAGAATGACATGCAGCAAAGGGCCGCAGGTCGGATTCAAACCCAGGCTGCTGCAGCAACCCGTATATGGGTAGCCAGCTCTACCGACTGAGCTAACCGGGCACCCTTGAGCCTACTCTTAAATGCGGAGAAGGTGTCTGCCTCCCAAACCCAAACTGGAAGCTGGTTCCACAGGAGAGGAGTTTTGTAGCTGAATGCTCTGGCTCCTGTTCTACTTTTAGAGAATATAGGAACCACAAGTAGCCCTGCATTCAGAGTGTGTTCTAGAAGGGTATTAGGGTGCTATGAGCTCTTTAAGATATGAAGGGGCCTGACTATGAAGAGCTTTGTAGGTGAGGAGGAGGATTTAAAATTCTATTCTGAATTTTACAGGGAGCCAGTGCAGAGAAGCTAATATAGGAGAGATATGATCTCTTTTACTAGTTCCTGTCAGTTCTCATGCTAAGATAAGATAAGATAAGATATTCCTTTATCTATCCCCCTTAGGAGAAATTCAGGTTGACACAGCAGCAATAGGGCAAAGTAGTGCAAAACAGAGAACAAAGAATATCACAAATGAAAATATTACAAAATACAAAATATAATAGAAGATATAAAACTATAAATGAAAGTATATACACTGTGCATTGTTCAAGTAGGACATGGAGTTCAAAATATGAGCAGAAAATTAAACTTGACTAAAACTAAAAAACTAAATCCAAACTGTACGAGTGGAAATTAAATATAAATAGTGCAAAAGGTTTGTGCGTTGTAGGTAGGAGTTTTAAACCAGTCTTTGTCTGTGGGGGTTGAAGGTACTGGGTGTTGTGGCGTTGTGGCAGACGGAACAAATGAGCCTCCAAACTGCTTTGAGGCTCGGGGCTGGGTCAGTCTGTAGCTGAAAGTGCTCCTGAGCTGCCTGAACTCAGTGTAGACAGGATGAGAGGAGTTGTCCATGATGGCTTTCAGCTTCCCTCTCATCCTCTTCTCAGTCACAGCCTCCACCATGTCCAGCTCCATCCCAGACCACCGAGCTGGCCATCCTCACCAGCTTGCTAAGCTTGTTGGCACCCCCAGTGCTGATGCCTCCCCCCCAACAGACCACCGCAAAGAAGAGGACACTGGCCACTACAGACTGGTAGAACATCTATAGTAGCCGAGTGCACACGTTGAATGACCTGAGCCTCTTCAGAAAGAACAGCCTGCTCTGTCCTTTTCTGTAGAGGACCTCAGTGCTGCAGTGTTCTGAATCAATTGGAGCGTCTTAATGAACTTATTGGGGCAGCCTGATAATAAGGAGTTGCAGTAATCCAGCGTAGAAGTAACAAATGCATGGACTAGTTTTTCTGCATCCGTCTGTGACAGGATGTGTCTGATTTCTGCAATATTTCTTAAATGAAAAAAGGCAGTCCTAGAGGTTTGCTTTATGTGTGAATTAAAGGACGTATCCTGATCAAAGATAACTCCAAGATTCCTGACAGTGGTGCTGGAGGCCAAGGCTCATCCAGGTTTTTATGTCCTTAAGACATGCTTGTAATTTAGATAACTGATTAATTGATAGATATAACTGGGTATCATCTGCATAACGAAAGAAAGAAAGAAAGTTAATGGAGTGATTCCTAATAATGTTGCCTAAGGGAAGCATATATAAAGTGAATAGAATTGGTCCAACCACAGAACCTTGTGGAACTCCATGACTAACTTTAGTGTTTATGGAGGATTCATCATTAACATGTACAAACTGAGACCGATCTGAAGAATAGGATTTAAACCAGCTTAGTGTGGTTCCTTTAATGCCAATTAGATACTCAAGTCTCTGTAATAGGATATGATGGTCAATGGTGTCAAATGCAGCACTAAGATCTAACAATACAAGCACAGAGACAAGTCTATTGTCAGAAGCAATTAAAAGGTCGTTATTAACTTTAACCAGTGCTGTCTCTGTGCTGTGATGAACTCTAAATCCTAGGTGAAAATCCTCAAATAAGCTGTTGCTATGTAGTTAGTCACACAACTGTTTGGCGACTACTTTCTCCAGAATCTTAGAGAGGAAGGGGAGGTTAGAAATGGGTCTATAGTTGGCTAAAACTCCTGGGTCAAGAGTGGGTTTTTAAGAAGGGGTTTAATTACATCTACTTTAAAGGACTGTGGTACATATCCTGATAATAAAGAAAGACTGATCATATCCAGTAAAGAAGTGCCAACTAAGGGTAAGACGTCTTTAAGCAGCCTAGTTGGGATGGGGTCTAACAGACAGGTTGATGGCTTTTATGTAGAAATTATTGAAGTTAGTTGACCTGATAGCAGAAAAACAGTCTAAATATATATATGATTTTACATTTGTTAAAATTCCTGAACTTGGAGAGACAGTGATACCTGTTGAGGGCATTTGGTTATTAATTCAGTTTCTAATAGTAATAATTTTATCATAAAAGAAGCTCATAAAGTCATTACTGCTCTGGGTTGTGGGGATATGTGGCTCAATAGAGCTGTGACTCTCT